TGAAAGTAACTTCTTGCCCACTCCTAAGCAACATTTGCAAATAACTCATATTTATGAATCAGCATGTCCTGAGGCATTCTCTCAATCTGATCTCTCATAATCTGAGACTTCAGTCTTAAGTGAGGAACAGCCTGCTCTGTACTTGCATTCCAACAGACCTTGCAGCCTCATCACGATTATTTTACAGCACTGGCATATCTAAATTCTAGTTTTTACTTTCGTTTTCCATATGTTCACCTGGAAATTTTACACCTATCTGTGCAGAAAACTCAGTTTGCCATCGACATGGACCAGGATTTGAGTCACAAGTGACCTCAGACTGCTTTGTTGGTAAATTCCTTACTTCAAGTCCTTCAATTCAGTTTAAAAACAAATCAAGCCCCATTTCCTAGTAACAGAGCTTTAACCATGCTTCATGCATTTGTTAATGTTAACACACATCAAACTTGTCTTGATTAAAAGAAATAATAAGTTGGTATTTCATCTCTGCCTTATCCTGTAAGGACTGCAGCTCAAAGAATAAAAGTTTTGCTATTCATCAGTTCCTGACTAAGATCAGCTCATCTGAGGAAGGGCACAGCAACACATTTGGCTTCAGTTCTATCAGAAGTTTGTGATGCAAGTGAATAAACGGTTGCACAGAAGAAAGCCAAAAGCTTTTCCAGACCAATTCTGTTTTGATCAATCACAGTCGGATAGAAAACATTATAAAAAGTAAAGCAAGTCTGTGGTGACACTTCTTAGACTGCTCGTTAGTCCTCCATGAGAACTAATTGTGTGGAGGTCAGTAAGATCAAAGGGCCAAATTAATTACCGTCTCAAACACTAGTCCACCCAAAGTCTTCTGAGGGTGGCTGATGCAGGATGAAGATTAAAAGAGTGAATGAGGACAGTGGGTATAAATTCAGTCACAATAAATGTTCAGTTGTCAGTAATAAGGAGATGTCACTAAAGAATATGTTTTATTACCAAAGTAGTGTAAGAGTGGTACTGCTCTCAAATTAAAGATTTTCCCACTGTTTTGCAAATATATATGCATTTCTGCACCTCAAATCATCCTTACTTGATTTGCTTGCTCCAACACAATACAATGGCTTGGGAGAGATGCAGAGAGTAGACATTTCCCCAAAATTGAGTGCTGTATGGAAATTTGTGGATGGAAAACGTAGTTGGGCTGTTGTCTCAAATATCAACCAGAATATAATGGATGTGTTTCATACCTACAATTACAACACTGCATAACATTATTATAAAATATTTACATATTACTTTATATAATGTTACAATATGAAAAACTGAGGTCTTATTCTTAAGCATACGTGAGAAAGACTTTTTTCATCTTCTGGAGATATCTGAGGGTGTAAAAGACCAGTCTCTCATTGACTTCTTTTGTGTTTTGTTTTGTTTTGTTTTTTTTTAATTTTTACAAAACATTAGGAAATAGGGCTGAGCATAAGGAAAGTAGTACTCTACTCTAGAATTGCATCAGAAAATATATTTCCACTGACATGAGGCAGTATAAATGTTACTTTGTAAATATTGCTGAAAATTTGTCTAGAATACTGCTGCCAGTTTTGACTGTGTTCTGACAGAAAAGGTGAAATTAGTCGTGACAAGCACAGCCCAGAAGGTAATCTCTTTTATGAGATACTATGGTTATACAAGAAATATTTAAGAGAGTTGATTTAGTTAGCCTAGTAAAATAGGGATAGATGGAATATCAGGTCATGAGAAAGAACAACTATGTAAAGCTATCATTTGCATAAAAATGAAACAGTAAAGACTACTGAAGAATATACATTTGGATTAGAAAGCAAAGGAAGAGTTTTAACCTTCAGAGGGCTTTCCAAAGCTATGCTAGAGACAAGATAGTTAGTTGCATTTTGAACTAGATTTCATGAAAATACGTTTCATAAACTGAATATAGTTTAAAGTGTATGTAGTGAAGGAGTGAGTTTGGTGGTATTTTTCCCTTTGTTTTGTTTGCAGTTCTCAAAAACTTTTTTGGTGCATTGACAGCCTTTGATACTACTGAAGTATAAGATTTTTCCTGGTTTGGGATCCTTTTTGAGTAATTTCTATTGTTGTTTTTTTTTTAATGACAGTCCGCAAGACGGTCATAAGCACTTGTTCTCTTGCCAGAAAAGTCTGAGGTTTCTTTTATTCTAATCTTATGCTATGCATGCGATTGAGTTAGTAGGATTGAAAAGTGATAAGGGCATTACTATGCGTGTTCATGAAGTGTAACCCAATTAAGACAACACAATGAGTTATTCTGCATCTGTATGAATTTAAGATTCAGTCAGGGTTAGCTGGCTATGATTTTATCCAGGTAAAACACTTCCGCCATGTTTTGCTTAGCAGATAATTTCCCTCTCTTGAAGGAAACCAACCTAATTAGCTGGGGTAGTGAAAAGTCCAAAGTATTGAATGCCTACTTTGCCTCAGTCTTCACTAGCAAGACTGGCCTTCAGGAATGCCAGGCTGAATGGCTGGAATAAAGAAGGTATAGCTCTGGTGGAATAATACTTGAGCAAACTGGACATTCGCAAGTGCATTGGCCCTGCTAGAATGTACCCACAAGGACTGAAGAAGCTGGCAGATGTGATTGCAGGGCTGCTCTCCGTAATCTTTGCAGGAAGTTAGAGCAGAAAATAGATGAGTGAAGGGCAAGATAATAATATGAGAGCTGTAGGCAATCTTGACCCTGTGCTCAGGCATACTCACTGGTTGCCTTTTACTTTTCATTGTCTTGATGTTGGAACTTTGAAGCTTGAAGACCTGGAGCATTTCCATGCTACCTGAAATTTGTCTCATGTAGTGTCTAAAAGTTGCAGCAACTCCAGGTGGTTCAGGGGTCTCAGTCTCTAGAGAACAAAGGTCCATTAGATGGGTTGGAGAGGAAATCTTTGTGTTCAAGTTTTGAAATCCTAGCTAACTGGTCCTTTGTCAATAGTCTCATAAATTCAAGAACACATGTGATATAACCTTAAACTGGAGATGTTAAATGTTCAGTTCAAGTATCTTCTCATAGCATCATATAGAATCGTAGAATGGCTTGGGTTGGAAGGGACCATCATATTCCAGCCCCCGTGCCACATGCAGGGCCGTCAACGAAAGGCTTGATTTGGAACAGACCTCAAAGATTTAGTTGCAGCCTCCCTGCTGTAGGCAGGGTTGCCAACCACCACATCATGCTCCTGACCAGGTTGCCCAGCGTCTCATCCAGCATGGCCTTGAACATCTCCAGGGACAGGGCATCCATAACTTCTCTCAGCTGCCTGTCCCTGGACCTTACCACCCTCTCAGTGAAAAAAATTTCCATGACATCTAATTTAAATTTCCCCTCTTTTAGTTTAAAATTATTTCCCCTTGTCCTACCACTAGAGACATGTAAAAATTTGATTTCCCTTCCGTTTCTAAGCTCCCTTTAAGTACTGGAAGGCTGCAAAGAGGTCTCCCCCGAGGCTTCACTTCTCCAAGATAAACAAGCCCAACTCCCTCAGCTTTTTTTCATAGAAAGTCCAGTTCCCATTCCAGTCCTTATCTCAGAGAATCTTGTTAATGTCATAAATGCTCATTTGGAATCCATACATCTGAATTCTTAACATTAATAAAATAGCAAATCATGTCTTCATGATTTAAAAATAATTCTAAATTTGGAAGAGGACAGTGGAAGCACCTTTATGTTTTTTAGGCTATGCTTTGTCAGAAACATTTTACTTCTGAGAAAAATAGCGAAGAGATATTAAAAAAAGCCTCATTCAAATCATGAGTATTCATCAACTTGATCCAAGTTGGTTTGTCCTTATCTCTAAACAGAGATCCCAACATTTATGTCTTCCCATGATGCATATCCATATTAAACATTAGGTCAGAAAAAATATTTCCCTCCTTCACAGGTGTCAGAATACACCAAAGGAGGCAAGAATAGGATTCAGGACTCTCATTTTATAGGTGTAACATCCAATTATCACGCATTTCATTTCTAATAATCCTGACTTTTATTTTTTAATTGCTTTTGAGCATCAGACATCAGCCTTAGGGTGGGATTGGCTAGTCATCTCATATTCCTAATATAAGGATCTCTAAATTTAAGTATGTTTCCCTCATGCTGCAAAAAGGAAAACCCTTAAACCATGTGCCAATTTAGCACAAAGAGAAACGGTTCTTCCTGATCCTAACCAGACAGTCTGGTCAGATCTTTGCAGCCTGAAAGATACTTCCTCTCTGCTGAAAAGCAAAGAAATTTTGAATAGAGTGGGCAACATTAGGAACATAATATAGGGACAAGAAAACAATTGCTTTCATTGTTCCTGTCCAATAAAACATCAGCATTATTAACAATGTAGTGTTGTTCATGTTGCAGCTTTATTACGTGTATCATGGTATTTGAGGTTTTCTCTAAGTGTCTTAATTTAAGGTCTTTGATGGAAATTCTCAATCCTTCTGTTTTTGTTTTTGTTTTTTTTTTAATTTGAAGTCTATGATTGAAATCCTCAATCTAACTTTAATCTTTTTCTTTTTTTCTTAAAGTTTTTTTTTTTTCAAGTTTAAGATGTCATTAAAAAAACTTGGAAATACACATTTTTGTACTTGAGTTTTTAAAAAGCAGGTATTATTTCACAATTTTATACTTCAACATTTGAATATTTATATTTAATAGTATAATTAGAGTTTAAGCAGTTATCTAAATTTTTTTAATGAGGTTGTAGTACTGAGACTACTTTGAAAAATATACTAGAAATTTACTTCCATAAGGATATATTCTCTTCAATAAGAAATAGCAAGCTTTTTCCATGTAACGTGATTTCTTTGTGCTCTTACAAATACTAAAAAATTTTGATTAAAGTTACTCTTGGCAAATAGTGATTTCATTATAGTAGTTCTGTGATTTTTTTTTAAATTTTTATTTTTTGCATTTTAAGCAAATTTGCTCAAATAACACATTTGAAGTACAACAAATACAAAGGCTGATTGTGACTTTTTTTTTATTTTAGATTATTATGTCATGCAATGAAAGACCATATAGTGCGTGTTGCAAATGAAGCAGAATTTATTTTGAACCGACAAAGAGCTGAAGATGTCCACAAGCATGCTGAGTTTGAGGTAATCCTGAGAGTTGGTGCATTTCTGCTTTTCTGTTTTCACTCAGTTGTCACCTAGACTGTAACCCCATGCAATAAAGATTTTCTTCTTCCAACAAAGAAATTTATATTGAAGGCATTTCAAAACTGGTTTTTAAAAGCTTTGGTAAATGTCGAACACAAGGAACTGGTTTAATATCTCATCTCCTCACTGAAATTAATGAAAGCGTTAGCTTGAAGAAATCCCTTAATCAGAATGTCTGCTCAACTGATATGGCAGACTCTTTAACTTCACAAAGAACTTTACTGATTTATTGCAAACTGTAATATAAGCCTCATTACTAATTATTTTTGTTGGATTTTATCAACAGTATATTTCAGTTCAGTATGAAAGAAAAACAGATAATGCATATAGGCACATCACAATTTAACTCTTTTGTTAGAATTAATATTTTAGGATATTTTTGGTAGAACATTTTGGATATTCTTAGAATATCTACCTCCTATAAATTACATATTGAAGCATTCTGATTCTTACTTTAGCTGCTAGCCAGGAGTCTTTACTGACATGAAGATTCTGTTTACATTGCCTGTTTTTTAAGTACTGGAAGAAATAACATAGCATCTGGATCCCGTAACTCTTTAACGTCTATAATTCTTTCTCCTCAAAAGGAGTCAGGTTTCTTTTTCTTTTTTCATCAAGTAGTATTGTAGTTTAAATGAAATTACTTGAAAATGAGGCAAAGATACAAAAAAGCTATTTCAAAAACATTTTTTTCAGTCCCATACTTTAAATGGTTTTGATGATTCCTTCTGTATTAATTTAGTTCCCGTTTTTAAAAACGCAAAAATATTCAAACACAGTTAAAATTTAATTTTTGACTAGACTTTATCCAATATAGTTTTGCATTTTCATGCTGCCTTTATCCAACACTTCAGTATCACTGTTATTTCCAAATCTGCTTTTTTTTTTTAAATACATTTGTATATAAACAAATATACATACACAAACATAACTTCCTTGTATTTTAATTTGCAAGTCGCCTTCTATTAGGATGGAGATAGACTTATTTAGTATTGATGATAATAATCAATTTATTCATCTGTCAGAAAATGTCAACAAGCACCTGGTGGCTAGAAATAGAATCCAGTAATCTTAGTTTTGATGAGGTTTTTATCTCATTGAAACAGCTCTCTTAAATGTACACTTTGATGTACTAGTTCTTGTGCTCCTTGACCTAACTGAAAAGTGTGAGACACAGAGATATCTGTTGTCATTTTGAATACACATAACCTTTACTTCATCCTGTCAGAGCAGACAGCAGACACTCGTCATATGGGATTGCAACAACTTTATTACTAGGCATATACTGGATATTTTGGACTTAGATAAAATCACATTTACAATTAAGTGTGTGTCAGAGTGAAGTTTCATATTGCCTCAACAATATATAACATTTGATATTTATCAGAGCATCATGCAGTAACCTAAGATGACAATAGAAGATTGAGTTATCTGTTCTTTGAAGAATACATTGAGATATAAAATCTGTCAGAACTCTAGACAAAATGAGAATATTCAATTAACTTCCAGCTTCTGTTAGCAAATAGGATTTAGAATATTAACTAAATTCTCTGAAGGAATAGCCTTAAGTCAGTCTTATTGTCTGGTAAAGAAACCAATGCATTTTTCATATACAAAATTTTTCATTATTTTTGTCACATGAAAAGCCTCAGCTACATATTTTAGATGAGGACGATAAAGTCTGAAAGTCATAAAAGAAAATTTAGTGCAATTTAATCTCTACTAAATATGAACCTCAAATGTACTTAAGGTGATGGTTAAAGTCTGGAAGAGTATTTCATATACTGTCTTTTATAGCATTAGGTAAATGATAATAATACTGAACATTTTATTATTCATCCTATCTGAAAGGAGTAAGAACAAAGAGATTTCTGGTAGTTTTCTCTTGCATAATTTCAAACCTGTCATTTGGTTTTAATAAGCTGTATCAGTATAAGTTCTAGGTTTAAGTACATGTTAATTGTTGCTCCCAGCAAATGCGAATGGCTGTTTTATTTTTACCACTTACACTTTAATTGAATAATTATGGATGAAATTGTTTGACCCAGATTGCACTGAGTTACTGTGTTGCCCATGCAACAGCAAGGAAGACCATGGACCAGCATATAAATGTTATCCTCCACTAACTATGGATGTAATCAGGGCAAAGGAAATTCCTCCTAGACTGGTTGATTCACAGTTAACTTCCATTTTGTTAACCTTTGTAATTGTTTAGGAAGAAAAATGAAAATTTAATTTTACTGTCCAATGAGCTGGTGAAATATTAACCTCATTACAAAGGGAGATCATTGTACTAATTGGTGCTTCTCTGTACAAGAAGATAAATTGAAAAATGAATTAACCCTTTAAGAATTAGTGTAATGTTTGTTCTTTTTCAGATAGATTATTTGAAATAATGGCTATAACGCAATGGAAAGACCACTGTTAAAATCTTAGCAAATGCTAATGAGATCAGCATTAAATGGGCAATGTGCAGAAATAGGAAGAATAAAGCACAATCTACCATGAGTTTTACTAAACTGTAATTGCTTTTTTGTATATTAGAAGATGGTGGTCAATTCAGCTTAAAGTGTTACAGCAATGAGTATTGGTTAAACCTTCTAAAATGACGCACAATAATTTGTGCAAGCAGAAATTGAGGTCTTTTTAAAAGGTATTTATAAAATTAGGTCTTTTGAGAATAATCTAGCTTTTGTAATTTACTGCTAGAAAATGATACTTGTAATGGATTCATTTTAATGACCATGGCTACATTTACTTCCTTTAGACCTTTCAAAAGGATCTTTAATAGGAGGAGAAATCGGATTTAATTTTAACATGGATTTGAGAAAAGAAAGGGAAAATTTACATTGTTCTTATTTTACACAAAGCATTTGAAGTTGAATATTGTGTTATATATGAAGTCAAAATTATGTGTTATATCTGTATGTTATAAATGAGAATGTATGAAAATTCTACATCAAGCCTTAAGACATAGCCATGATTGCATACACACAGAGGTGCATAGTTAAATGTTTTTCATTGTAAGTTGGTTGTATTCTCCACCAATATTTCAAATTCTACGCGTACTGAGAGCTTTTTCATGAATGAAATATAGTAGTAGAATCATGTAAATTGTTTTGTCCTGTTCATCTTAAAATTATCTTAGTGAGCTCATTGGCTATTGATGTAAAGAGTTTTAGTAAGTTACCACTCTCAGGTGATTCCCAAATAGCCTATCTTTTATCAAGTACATGTACTTTCATTCCCAGTCCCAGTGTGCTCAGTATGCCGCTGACAGAAGAGAGGAGGAGAAGATGTGTGATCATCTTATCAGCGCTGCAAAGCATCGGGATCACGTTACAGCCAATCAGCTGAAACAGAAGATACTCAACATCCTAACAAATAAGCATGGTGCCTGGGGAGCTGTTTCTTATAGGTAAGCTGATAGCATAAAATGTGTGGGTTTTGAACGTTACTTCCAAAGTATAAGAGAAACTGTCACCATATAACTGGAAAATGAATCTGGTAGGAGTTAGAATTGCTAAAATGTATTCTCTGTAATTAGGCATTGCTTCAACTGTTTCTTGAGAAGTCTTCTTTGATAAAACTTTACAGATAAAACTCCTGAATAGATTGCTAAAATAATTCTTTATTATATTTCAAGTAAATTGTAATGAAAATTTGTCAATTATGTTTAATGCAGCTTTGCTAGTGGTATATTGGAAGCTTTTGAGGCTCCCTCCAGTATTATAGCCTCTGAGTGAAGTGCTCTGGATGAGATAACAAGTGAGAGCTTTCCATACAGATACTGAAAGAGGAAGCAGAGGATCTAGCATTATAGTCAGTGTAAAAATAGCAAGCAGAAGCAGAACACAAGTTGCTGTGTCGTACTTTCTTCTGTTTATAACTTTTCTGTGCGAGTGATGAAGTGGTAAGATCCGCTGGTAAATCTTAACTCTCCTACAACAAAACAGTAGTTGATACCAGCCATGTACAAAGTCCATATGCTTAACACAAAACTTATGTGTGTGCTTGACTTTATCAAGTCTGCAGCTGAGCTTAACCAAAGTGCAGCTCATTTCTTCAGGAGCCCCTGTAAGGAAGTAAACACATAAAAACAGTGTGATCCAAAATACATAATTCTTATTTTATGTAAATGACAATGTAATATTTGAGATTTTAATCAGAACTATGCTGAGTGCTGCTTTTAAAACTTGACTGCATTCAACACAGGGGTGAAATGAAACTTCTTCCTATATCATGCTAAAAAACAAAGCCTTGCTTTTCCAATTCTAAATCACAAAAATAGCCAGTGGCTAAGGTGCTGACCCTCCTCGTGTGGAAGAGTTGGGCTCAAATTGCTCCTTTCCTTCATTCTGAGTAAGGTCTTGAACCTGGGTCTGTCTGCAAAGCCACAGGCTGCCAAGTCTCTTTAATGTTTTTTTTTTTGTTGTTGTTTTTATGTTTTTTTTCATTCAAGCTATTTACTAAATTGATTATTTATTCAAAGTGGACCTGGTCAAACAATAGAGATTGAAAAAGTTTGGTTTCCAAATATCCTATTTTTTACAGTTCAATTTCCTACTTGAATTCCGCTGATCTGTTCTGAGTCAGAGCAGAACAGAAAGTTCCTCCTTAGCTCTGAAAAAGCTTTTCAGTAAAAATCTGGTTGAGACTGATATGCTGATTCAAAAACTTTTCTATAGATAAATATTTTCTTTCGGGGAAAAAAAAAAGATACACCAACACATTTAAATATAGCTTGAATACATACCTGTGGCTTCAGCTTATTAGGAAAGATGTCGAATAATGAAACAGACATATCAGAAATAACATTTAATAACTGTCATATATCCTGTTCATTCTTTCTGTTGTTGTGTCTAGTTGGTTCTTGTGGTTATGTAGTGCAAAAAATAAAATGTAGTTTTTCATATTCATCATCCTTGTATCTTCCAAAGAAACTACAATTTCCTGGATGATGTAGGAGATGTATTTCATTTTTAAGGTGGTAGAAAATGTAGAAGTTTAGACTGATAGAAATTCTGTAGTGTACCATCACAGACATTCTGGTGGTAATTACAAAAAAGACATTTAGAGGATTTTGATATGGTTAATTTAAAGCAACCCAAGTTCATAATGGACACTGGTGTTATTCCTAGCTGAGGCTTAAAATAGTGTATCTGGAGACTTGAATCTGATAAGTTTAATTTTCAGTCCTTTTAATGTCTTTGCGTTTTTGAATGATGTTGTGGCTCAAATTTGGTTGCAGGCACTTTGCAGGCTTCAGTCAGATCTTTGCCATGTCATTGGGCACTCACTCCTGCAGGCGACTCTCACTGGGTCACACAACTCACCCATTTTATTTCACTTTCCTTGTGTGCCTGCTTCTCAGTTCCCATTCTGGACATGTTCAGTCCAGCTGTTGGCCTGGTGGTTGGTTTTTAGCTGCAAGCTGCTCCTGGCTGACGTTTAACCTGGAGAAATAATGAAGCTGTGACAGCAAAAAGATTCCAAAGAGGTTTCCCAGTTGCAGGATGCAAATGTCCTTGCATTTCAGGTCCTACTACAGCAACTATGTTATCCACCACACAAGTGTAACTTCTGTCTTTAGACCTAATGAACTGTACAGAGAAAGGACTAGGAAGACAGGAGATGTGGGAAGATGACACAGAACATCTAGTGCCTTGTAAATAACTGAGGTCACTGTTCTTGGGCAGATTTAAAAGATTTAGACTGCAGAAAGGACTACAGAGAGGACTCACGTAACTATTTAGATGTAGAAGGCAAAACCTGCTCTTAATTAGACAGTTTCTCCAGTATTTTTTCTGGAATGGAAATTGAGATGAATTCTAAAATTTTATGTTCCATTGTCTTCTCGGGCAGTGGATTGTTGATGTGCAGTTACAGTGTCAGCAGTCATTTTATGCACTGCTGCTTCTTGTGCCCCAGAAGATGCTGCCTGACTGGAGGAGAGCTACTAAAAAGTTTGCAGATATCTACACCTCTGCAGTGATCGCATCACTTCTGTCATAACTTTCATATTTCTGAATGTACTCTAACAATTCCCTGAGTGGCTCTTGAATCTGTGAACGTTCTTGGAAACTGTAAATTAAAGAAATCCTTAACAGGTCAAGGAGGAGCAGGCAAAGAAATAGGTAACCGGTTCCACATGATAAACACTTAGGCAATGCCTCTTTAGAGGCATTAAGGCATGTCCTTTAACAAAGTTGCTTATAAAATATTAAGATCTGATTTTGTGAAATATTATGCAGCTGTTGATTTTTTTTCCCTCGTGTTGGCATTTCAACACATTGAATTTATAAGTCCTTCAGCTTTTGTGTCTGCAGGTACTCTTTCTGCAGATAGCAACAAGCACCATTTACTGTGTTAGATCTGTAAGTGCCACAAAGTTTATTCTTTGTTCATTTGTAAGAGAGCAAAAATTAACCTAACTCCTGGCAGCACTGTGATTATTGAGAGGAAAATCAAGGGGTTTGATGAATCCAATTCTATCATATTTGCAAATTAGAAATTTTAGATATAAACTCTTTTCAAAATGTTCAAAGAAACAAAGAAGACAGTTGAGTATAAAATAAAATCATAGGTGCCATGCCTTTCAATTTCCTTCTTAATTAGCTTCTCATTTACAAAGGAAAAAATAATTTTATGCAAATACTTCCCTACTTGAATTAATTATTTCAAACATGGTAACAATGTGTGAACTGTCCCAGTCTATGTATCAACCATTCAGCATGGTTGCAGGCAGTCTGAGAACCTATTTACTCTTTCATCTCCTTATTTCTAGAGTGGTAAGTAACATTCTTTACAAAATATTTTTCTGTTGTATTGTTTTTCAGTGTCACCATCTTCATAAATATTTTCCATTGAGTTCTTAAAGCAAAAACTGAAGTTCTTTCGCCTCATTTCTTGCAAGTGTGAACATCAACTCCCTTACAACAAAAAGAAATTATTGAAACATCTTGTTTTGTCCTTCATATCTTAGAAAAGAGTAACAGTATTCAAAACAAATCTATTTGGTTTGTTACAAACATTGTTTGCCTTTAAGCCAAACTAATTCTGGTTTTCTGATTTCGTCAGTTTAACAGTTTTAGATATGATCTGCTAATTTATCTTAGCTTACCCAAAACATATAGTTTTTTCCTTTCATTAACTGAAACATCATACCCAAAGTTGAATTCTGCAGTTTTTTTTCCATTGGGATGAGAAATTGATGGGTTGGGTATTTCTTTGATGCATTGCCACTTATTCACAGTGAACATGCAACATCCTATTTCCTTCATCTCAGGAAGAATCACACAGGGTGCTTCATAGATTATCGTTCAAAGCCTCTGTAAGCCAGCACTTACCCTAGCTCTTTTCAGGGTTATAGTCTTCATGTCACAACATATGCTTCCTTCTGTCTTCTCTGCCAGTTTCATATGGTGCTTCTCTTCCTTCCCATCTGCTTCTCTCCCCATAGACATCTTTCTTTAACAATATATATAAATATATATATGTAAGTTCAATGAAACTTCTCTGTACACGCAGTTCAAATTTGTTATCAGCCCCATGTATGTCTGGGATGTTATCTCTCACCATGCTTGTTTGGAGGGTTCTCTTATTTCAGCTTCTTGAATTTAATCAGACACCACAACTGCATATTTAGTGATACTTACAGTTTGTATAAATTTAAGGCAATTTAGGGCAATACAGAGTTCTGAGTTCAAGGTTTTATTCAAAATCTAAATAGCAAATACCTCTGTATTGATATTTTCACACTATCAGTTCTGATATACATAGGAGGATTATTATTATGAGAAAAATGACATTTAAAAATAAGACTTCGTTGTCTTGCTTTCAGTGATTTGATAAAGGAGGCCCTACTTGCATTAAAGCAGCTTTACCAAACAGCAAGTATACAAGGGCTTTTTCTGTTCAAATCCATCTTTGGTTAAACGAGACATCCATAACAAATTAATCATTCATGGTGGAGGGCAGAGCTGTCAAACTCATTCTGTGGTGAAGACCAAATTCGTCTGGGCAGAGAGTCTGGAAATACAAAGTTTCTTGCCAGACAGCAAGTTCTGCCTCTCAGGACAGCATGTGCTTCTGCAGAGATTGGGTTCTGCAGGGGAAGGGGGAGAGGTCTGAAAGAGGAGAACTTCCTATTTCTGAACCTGTAGGGCTGAAGGGCTGTTAGTACAGTGATCCTGTGAAGACCCTGCTTCTAAACCTGCTTCAGATGTTTCCAGTTTACAGTAAGAGGGATGAGAACACAGGAATTTGGTAAGGGGTTTCCCTTGCAGCCAGCCCTGCTCTGTCTCCACCACCATACTAGCTGCTGCCTTAGGAAGTTGAGAGCACAAAGATCCTGTCCAGTCCGCCACTGCAAATCAGCTTCATCTGGTTTAGCTATTCATTCATTTCTGGCTCATT